TATATTTTGCACGGATGTAATTTATACTGAGGAAACGAAACAGGTTTTATGTTACATGTTAATCATTGCCTATTTGTGCCTAGTATAATTGTAATTTTACCGAAAAATCTAGAACTTTAAGCATGTATAGTTGGTATGAGGAGGGGGGGGGGTGTCGGGTGGGGGGGGGGGGAGCAGACGCTATTTTTATACGCCCTTATTTGTATGTCCTGAATTCCAATCTCCTAACTGGTGGATTTGTATTTGAAATTGATAACGCGGTGTCATGTATCGATTTATTTTAGGGCACCTACCTAAAGCGTGGGGACACAGTATTCAAGTCGTTTATGTCGTCAGAAGGTTGATCGGTTAATCTTATCTTATCTGTTAGAAACGTAAGACACACAATCTTTCATGTAACATTAACACCTCATCTTGTAACTTAGCTTGCAGAATCTATTGATAAACAATAATCCCATTTGTATAAAGGTTAAAAACGTTGAAGCCAAACTGGCAATAGTAGCCTATAACAATAATAACAAATCGAAGCCTGGCTTCATAGATATTCTGAAATACATTTGTAAGTAATGCCAAAGTGATTGTGAAATACATTTGTAAGTGATATTATAGTGATTGTGAAACTAATTTTATGTGTGTTGTTATAGTGATTGTGAGATAAATTTGTGTAATTTTATAATGACTGTGAAATACGTTTCTATGTGATGTTGTAGTGTTTGTAAATAAAAGAAATAATGACAACTAAGGCGTGAGCCTACACTGCAGTTTTCACATTTTATTATTCGTTTTTTAAATATGTTGTACTTTAATAAAGAAAAAAATTGAAGGATAGAGATCACCAGATTGAGCCATTGTTAATCACTATGGGACATTATAATTAAAGCGAGAGTAATCTCCCCTAAACTTTCTTGTATACTCTTATAGGCCTACTAAGAGGAATGGCAACCCGGAATATAGACATGATTTTTAATCAATTTTTAAAATATTTAACTTATTAAAAAATATAGTAGAAAAAAAGAATTGAGAAATCGGATTTAGCGTAAAGTACTAATTCCTGTAAACGGAAATTGCCTAAAATTTGACAGTAACATATATCGTTTACTTATACGTCGAATTTCATTTAGTTATCACAATTGTTTATCAAGTTATAGGGTTTGAAAAAACAACAGTAGAATAAATTCTACTTCTGGCTACTGGAAAAGGCCGAAAATATGATACAAAACTACACATTTGAAATAATACTTATATCTAAACTTGCATCAACCTAGCTGTAACTGTACTCAAGTTATCATGTTCAGACAGACACACACGCACACATACACACAACCGCTCACACAGATATACGGACAAATTACAAAACTAAGTTTTTCCGACTCAAGGAGGTGTAAAACATCGAGATATGTAAAAAAATCTCAACTTCTATTTGTAGCACGATTACAACACTTCCTAAATGTCGTAGACGAGAAAGTAAAAAGAAGGCAATAAAAGGTAAATAACATGGGTATAATCGCGTGAAAAATTAGTAACTTTATAAAAGAAACATTGATTTTACTTTTGTAAAACGTTAAACATCTAATTGAATCACATTTTATGTTTCAGTTCATTGACATTGAATCTTTACATACTAGAAAAATTTGAAGCAAATTGTTCCAGTAAAAAAAATGTTTTTTTTTTTGAGAAATCGGAAATACCGTAAAGTGCTGCTATAAGTTTTCGAAAATCATTCAAAATTTGAAAGATTCAAGATGATAAAATCGTATACATATGTATAACTTTTGTTCACCTAAAAGTAAAGGTACTTAAGTTATTGTTATTTTAGTAACCCAAAATAGAGTAAAATAACATTTCCGGTAATTAAATATTAAAAATGATTAAAGTAAAAGATCCTATAATTATATAGTTTTATCTAACTGAAACATTACTCAAATTAAAGTTTCACATAGAACATAAGAGCCACATTCGGTTAACTAAAATTGTGTAAAAGTTGAAAGAATACTGCGCATACAATTTACTACGTATATTTGAAAGTTCGTCTATCTTAAACGGCGCTCTAAGCTTTTCATCGCTTTTAAGAGTATGTACCACTTCCATTATTGGAAATTGCTCAAAAGTTTATACAGAAATAAAAAATAGCATAGCCAAGTTTTTCCTTTCGGGAATGACGTAAAACGTCAAAGTTTGTCACAATCTCTATTTAGAATTTTTGCACGATTACAATGCATTCTTTCTGTTTCTTATAATAAAGCAAGAAGTAATAATCATGATTACAATAGTTCCTCTATACTCTGTTTACTAGAAAGTAAAAAAAAAAGCTGTAGTACATTTATTAAATGCCGTGGCGTTAGGGGGAGCGGAGGTGGTGGACGTTAGCTTTTACTCCTAAGCTTTAAGATTTTACTTTAAATGTATTGATTTTTTTTTCTGCCAAAGAATTTTTTGAAGTCATTATATGTTTAATAGAAACTTCCTGGTTTCTTGAATAGAACTAAATCGATTACATATATCAGCAGCAAGATCGCTGTAAAGAAATATTTAGGTAAGATTGCGCTATAGTGAAGGTTATTTCAAGGTGGACTTATCTTGTACCTTCACATCTACATAAGTAAAAATAAAATGTAACTATTTTAATTACATTTTCACTAGATTATTTGTGTTACAAAAGTATTTACTGTGATTACAATCACTAGTATGCTATCTACTTTTGGTGAGTAAACATTTTAATTTTCCATTATTTTTTGTTTAAAAAAATTACTATGTTCATTACAATGGGCAGCCACAAGCTAAAATTTTTAAATGTATTTTAAACATTCTGATTTCTGTTTATTTTGTCTAGAACACATTTATTTAGTCCGATGTTGTTTTTTTTCATTGAAGATATCGCCCGCAGTTTCATTAATCCCGACATCGGCTACCCCATTGTTTCTATAGTGTAAGCGAAGCTCAATATTTCGTAATAATTGACTTGATAACATATTGTTTTTTATATTTTAAATTACGTATTATTTCTAATTGGTTTTGTCTTTGAATTTTCATCTTTTAAAGTATATTATTGTTACGATGAAAAAAACCTGGTGGCTGTAAAATTTGTGACATTACTATTGCTACATAGTGAGTGTTGAGAAACAGGTTCGACTACACAAGATAAAGTATCATGAATCGAGTAAAACAAAACCCGTAGATGTTTCATCGCTCTTTATTACACATAAGTACATGAACTTGACGATAACTTAACTAAACAGGACGACTTAAACGATGACTAAACTTAAATACGACTATATGATTATTTAGCTCAAATGGGGATGGATTAGCAACACCTTGTCTAAACCAACTAGCAACATCATCAGACAGGCTCTACTTTGAAATCTCCAACGAAAGAGTAAAGTAGGTAGGTCATAACAGACCTGGAAAAGAACAGTAGTCAGTGAAGCAGAAGAGGCCGGAATGTCGAGGACTAAACTTAGAGGAATCGACCAAAAGTGAGTACGATGGAGAACTGTGGTAGTGTTTCTATGCTCCACATGAGTGCACATGAATAGTGACGTTTAGGATGACAGGAATTGTGAACGACTACCAAAGTATAACTGAATGAAAATTGCCTTTTCTTACCTTTCCTTGTCTTTTAATATCCCCTAATTATTAAGTCCTAACTACAATATAATGTGTCACTTGTCTCCCAATAGTAGCTATGCTACAGAATTGCACAGTTATTAACGTTTTTATACAAAATACAACAGACTATAGTTTAAGGTTTATAAAGATAAACTAAGGGACGTCAATAATTCATTGTGTTTTACCAAATTCTACTCCATTATCCTTACCATTCTGTGCTCGAGTTAGTTATGCAGTATTGTATCACTGAGTAAAATGGGGTTGATTGACAATGTGTTTAATTCTAGCACCTAACAATGAAACAGCAACGATTTGATTTTAAATAAACTTCCTGAGCAATCCAAGATTAACAGTAACATCATGGGCGAGGGAGGGGGGGGGGGGGTAATCACTAACGTTTCAAAGACAAGATAATCACCTCTATTCTGTGCTAAGTATAAAGTTTAAGTCCCTACACATTAAAGTGATAACGTACAACTCAATGAACAACAAAATGACATTGACCTTTCGTATTCAAAATATTATTTCAAATGTGTAACCATTAAATTGAGTACTATCTGCATTATCTATATTAATGTGTCTTGCTTTATAAAAATAAAACCCTTGACCTGTAAACGCCCCAGTCAAACGAGAAAGCTGCTGCGCTGTAAAAAAGTTACCTATCCTGAAATTGTTAATTTGATAAGGACGTAGATCTAATGCTTAGCGCTCAAGTGTTCGCTATTGACAAAACAAAAGTACGTGTTTATTCACCAAGTTAATCCTTTTAATCGGAGCGGGATCAGTGTCTATATTTAAAATTATGTTGCAGGATGAGTGAATTGAGAAATATACACATGTCTAGATTTAGTAAAACAAAGTAACCTTAAATATATGATATAAGAACGACTTTATATTTTAACAAGCGCACATTTTTATATAAGAAACACCAACTACATATTGTTTAAAAGTTATTACTTTTTAAAAATATATTTTCTAAATCCAGATAAACAATTGACGACACAAAACTAAAGAAGTAATCAACTACTATGAAGTTAGAATTAAAAGAAACAATAGTGTTTTAAAATAGTGTTTGAAAAAAGCATAAACGAGCATTGGGAAACTATAAAGAATTTCGTAGGTGCTGACAAAATTAGCGAAGTAAAAATTTAACAATGTTTACTAATCTACGCTGGTTTTTTATCTTGATACAATGAGGAAAACAATAACAGACTATTTCTATTCATAACAAACATGACTATCTCAATAAGTAGGCGTCATAAGCACAAAGAAATAGAAATAATTTTTAAAAATGTTACTAATGATAAAACTGTTAATACTGTTAATACATATTAAAACACAGAAAAAATTGAAACATTTGGATGTAGACTTTAATAAACTAAAAATATTATATCATGACTAATTTAAAAGGTAAAGATGTAGATTTATTACTTAAGGCCTCGCGCTGCGGAGACAATAAAACTGTAGACTTTTTAATCGCTAGAGGGATTAGCGTTAAAGCAGTAAATATTTATGGAGTGAATGCATTAATGTACGCTTCTTCAGGGGGAAACGATACAATTGTAGATTCGTTAATTAATAGGGGTAGTGATGTTAAAGCTGTAGATGAAAATGGAAAGAATGCATTAATGTACGCATCTGAGAGTGGAAAGGATAAAACTGTAGATTTGTTAATTAATAGGGGTAGTGATGTTAAAGCTGTAGATGAAAATGGAAAGAATGCATTAATGTACACTTCTCGGAATGGAAAGGATAAAATTGTAGATTCGTTAATTAATAGGGGTAGTGATGTTAAAGCTGTAGATCAAAATGGAAAGAATGCATTAATGTACGCATCTGAGAGTGGAAAGGATAAAACTGTAGATTTGTTAATTAATAGGGGTAGTGATGTTAAAGCTGTAGATAAATATGGAATGAATGCATTAATGTACGCTTCGAAGAATGGAAATGTTAAAATAGTAGATTTGTTAATTAAAAAAGGGAGTGATGTTAAAGCAGTAGATAGAAATGGAAAGAATGCTTTAATGTACGCATCTGAGAGTGGAAATGATAAAACAATAGAGTTGTTAATTAATAGGGGTATTTGTCACTTGTCTCCCAACGGTAACTATTCTACAGAAGTGCATGGTTATAGACGTTTTCATACAAAATACAACAGACTATAAATTAAGGTTAATAAAGATTAACAAAGGGACGTTGGTAATTCATTGTGTTTTAAAATTCTACTCTATTCTTTTTTACGACCTCATGCTCTCAAACCAAAAATTTACTGCCTTGTGAAAAAGTTATCTATCCTGAAAATGTATTGGATGATGATGTAGGCCTAATGATTACCTCTTAAGTATTCTCAATCGATAAAACAAACGTCCGCATCAATTCAAACAGCTAATCATTTCAATGGGAGCGGAATCATTGTTTAAAATTATGTTGCAGGATGATTGATTTTAGAGATGATATAGGCACGTCTAAATTTAGTAAAACAAAGTAACCTTAAACATGTGATATGAGAACGGTTTTATGTTTTGACAAGCACAAATGTTTAGATTAGAAACACCAACTACATATTGTTTAGAAGCTACTACATATTATTCATATATTTTGTAAATCCAGATAAACAAGTGACGGCACCAAACAACCAATCATCTGATGATAATACGATGAAGTCAGATATAAAGGAAACAATAGTGTTTTACAATTGTGTTTGGAAAAAAAGCATAACAAAACATTGTGAAACTATAATTAATGTTGTGCATGCCGACAGTTGTCAATAACTAAATTGTCGGTTCAACGAAGCACTCAAAGTTAGATTTCCGAGGTTGACAATATTTGCTAAGTAAAAATTAGACAATGTTTGCTGAACTATGCTGTTTTTTTTCTTGATACAATGAGAAAAACAATAAAAGACTATTTCTGTTCATAACGAAAATGACAATCTCAATAAGTAGGCGTCATAAGCACAAAGAAATAGGAATAACTTTTTAAATGTTTAATAACGATAAAGCTGTTAATACTATTCATACATATTAAAACAAAGAATAAATTGAATCGTTTAGGTGTAGACTTTAATAAACTAAAAATATTATATTATGACTGATTTAAATGGTAAAGATGTAGAAGTATTACTAAATGCTTCTTACTGCGGAGACAAAAAAAATAAAGACATTTTAAAGCAGTGAATAAAACTAAATACTTTAAAGTTAGCTTATTCAAGGGGAATGGATGAACCTGTAAATTTGTTTAATTATCTAGTCGGTGATCTTAAAGCTGTAGATAAGAATGGAATGAATGCATTAATGTGGGCTTCTGCGGGTGGAGCTTATGAAGAAGTGGATGAGTACATTAATAAGGGATATGATATTAAAGCTGTAGATAAAAATGGAAGGAATGCATTAATGTACGCTTCTATGAGTGGACATGATAAAAAAGTAGATTTGTTAATTAATAGAGGTAGTGATGTTAAAGCTGTAGATGAAAATGGAAAGAATGCATTCATGTACGCTTTTGAAATGGGAAGAGATACAACAGTAGATTTGTTAATTAATAGGGGGAGTGATGATAAAGCTGTAGATGAAAATGGAAAGAGTGTATTAATGTACGCCTCTGAGAATGGAAATGATAAAACTGTAGAGTTGTTAATTAATAAGGGAAGTGATATTAAAGTTGTAGATAAAGATGGAAAAAATGCATTAATGTACGCTTCTGACAATGGAAATGATAAAACTGTAGAGTTGTTAATTAATAAGGGAAGTGATATTAAAGCTGTAGATATAGATGGAAAGAATGCATTAATGTACGCTTCTAGGTGGAAATATCATAAAACTGTAGAGTTGTTAATTAATAGGGGGAGTGATGTTAAAGCAGTAGATAAATTTGGAAAGAATGCATTATTGTTGGCTTTAGATAGTAGACATAATACAGTAACAGATTATTTTATTAATAGTGGGAGTAATTTAAAAGCTTTTAATAAATTTAACAAGAATGCATTAATGTTGCATTTAGACAGTAGACAACATAAAATAGTAGATTTGTTAATTAATAGTGGGAGTGATATTAAAGCAGTAGATGAAAATGGAAAGAGTGCATTAATGTACGCTTCTGAGAATGGAAAGGATAAAATAGTAGATTTGTTAATTAATAGTGGGAGTGATATTAAAGCAGTAGATAAAAATGGAAAGAATGCATTAATGTACGCTTCAGATAGCAGGCTTATGTGTTTTTATTTAAAAGGTGTATATTATGATGTCAGTATTCAAGCTAAACGTGTTATCGAGCTGTTGATAAAATCTGGAGCTGATGTTAATTTTATAGACAAAAATGGATGGAGTGCGTTGATGTATGCTGCCAAAAGTGGAGCTAAGCAAAAAGTTGAGCTCTTAGTGGAATATGGATGTGATTTTCGAGCCCGGAATAAAGAAGAAGACAATGCATTAGATATAGCGTCAAGGTTTCACCATGAGGATATTGTTGAGTTTTTGAGGTTCTCGAGGTACACAAATGTTACTGATGGAATAAAAAAACGCGTAGATCGTGAAAAGGTTTTGGTAAGTAGACTATAGAGATTGAAATAGTTATAGTCTACTTTTACTTTTAAATAAAAGATACTATTTCTTAATGTCTCAAGCAAAAAATATAACCAACTAGTGTTAATTTTAGTAATAAACAACATATTTATAGTAACCGTTACGTCTAGGCATTGCTACAGACATTTTTATCGACGTCGAAATGTGACTGTCAACGCATATATTATGTATGTTTCTTTGCAAATATTTTAAGAGAAAATAAAGAGCATTACATAACGCTACGCTAAAACCAGCAGCATGATGTCGTTTTAAAAATTAACCCACACATCACACGCCTTTCCTCAATATCACAGATATAACAAACATAAGTCAAATCATTAAACAGAAAATAGCTGGTTTCTACTTTCCCTCTCCTGGTATTAATCTAGGTGCTTAAAGCATCTGCAAATGGTCGATCTAATTCAAGACCTTTAAAAAGTGTATAGTTTATATAAGGCCGCGATTAGTCTGGGTCAATTTTCGGTCACTTAAAACTCAGTTATTGAGACGGCTATAGTTTACCCGTTGTATTGAATTTTAATAGCCCACTTTTGTCAAGAACACCGTAAACCCACGGTGTGTCAATAAGTTGACAACAGTCTTTACATGCACACACACACATACGCATATATATATATATATATATATATATATATATATATATATATATATATATATATATATATATCCTAAGATCATTTGTCCTGTCATATATATATATATATATATATATATATATATGTATATATATATATATATATATATATATATATATATATATATATATATATATATATATATATATATATATATATATATATACATATATATATATATATTTATATATATATATATATATATATATATATATATATATATATATATATCCTAAGATCATTTGTCCTGTCATATATATATATATATATATATATATATATATATATATATATATATATATATATATATATATATATATATATATATATATATATATATATATATATATATATATATATATATATATATATATATATATATATATATATATATATATATATATATATATATATATATATACATATATATATATATATATATATATATATATATATATATATATATATATATATATATATATATATATATATATATCCCATATTCTCCTAGCGCAGGGGTCGGCAACCTTTTGAAGCGGAAGAGCCAAAAGTTACAATTTTCAAAATTTCCCTGGTTTTAAAGAGCCACTAACATTTTTTTTATTTCAAATATTTTATTTTTTTATTAAGATTATTAGTATTTGTTCAAGGAGCTGGAGAGCCGCATCTTGATATCAAAAGAGCCGCATGCGGCTCGCGAGCCGCAGGTTGCCGACCCCTGTCCTAGCGTCCCACTTATGGGAGAACAAAGAACACGACTGATGGCTTCAGAAGACCAGACGGAGCTTTAGGGAAGAGGCAACCGCGGTTCCCCAACAACCGTCCAACAGATATAGATGAGAATAGTATAGCTGCTCTATACAACGTAATTATCTGCAAGTCTTAAGCTGATAACGTTTGATAAAATGAGGTTCAATTGCCTGATTGTAGATTTATATACCAGAATAACGACCTTGTTCTGGTGTTTTGCAAAGCCATATACCATCAATTAAAAATGACTCAATTCAGTAGACATTCTTTGTGGCCAATTGTATCATCAACTCATCACTTGTTTATCAAAAGTAGGGGCTGCCGATGTGTGAAAAAATGTCTAATGTAATGATCCACATCTTAACATATAAAAATAAACCGGGAGTGATCTCCCCTAAACTTTCTCGAATATTCTTATATAAAATAACAGGGGATGGGAACTCGGGCTATAGACATGATTTTTAATCCATTTTAAATACTTAAAGTTTTAAAAATAGAATAAAATCTCGTAGACAAATTAATTGCACGCCAAGTGAACGCCAAATAAAAAACGCATAATAGTGCGCAATATTATTAGTACTTTTAAAATTTACATTAGTTTTTTGAGAAATCGGAAGTAGCGTAAAGTACTACTTCCAGTCAACGGAAATTACTCAAAATTTAACATAAAGTAGAGAATTTGATCTTTTACTTACATGTGAAATTTCATTTATCTATCTGAAATAGTACTCAAGTTATAGGCTTTTGAAAAATTCAAAGTAGGAAAAGTACCACTTCCGGTTATCGGAAATCGCTCAAAAGTTGATACGGATCTACGATTTTGATAAAATACTTATATATGAAATTTCATCAACCTAGCTGTAACGGTACTCAAGTTATCGTGTTTACACACGGACAGACAGACAGACAGACAGACAGACACACAGACATACGGACAAGATTGCAAAATTATGTTTTTCCGTATCAGTGAGGTGTAAAACGTCGAGATTTGTAAAAATCTCGATTTTTTTTTGCACGATTACAAGACTTTCTCTATACTTCGTATATACGAGAAAATAAAAATTACATTTGCACTATTATATATATATATATATATATATATATATATATATATATATATATATATATATATATATATATATATATATATATATATATATATATATATATATATATAAAATGACTGTCCGAAAAATCAATTAATTATATTTATTTATTTCTATTACATTTTTGATGAATAATAACAATATTTGTGATCATGTGTGTAGAATTAAATGTACCAGTCACAGCTTTAGTTATGTCGAAGTGCAATTCAGTTTGATCGACACAAGATTAAAAAAAAACTATGGCTAACCCAATTGAACATTATTGGTATTTTTAGATGTCGTAAACAATGTAATCATTGGTCTAACAATACAAACTCAGTATACAACTTAATTTTCGCGTGATTAGCCATATTTCGTGATAAGTTATTGTTTTTTGCAATACATTTACATGGGGCCGTTCGTTGCTAGCGTCCCATTTATGGGACGTTTTTAAAAAAATCGATATTTTAAAGAGTATTGATTTAAAAAAAAAAAAACTATAGTCATTCCTTCATTCAGTGCCCAAAAGCTAAATCATATAAAAAAATTATAAAGATTTGAGACCTTGGCTGAGATATTTTGTCTGAAATAATTTGTCATGGAACCATATATATATATATATATATATATATATATATATATATATATATATATATATATATTTTTATATATATATATATATATATATATATTCTAGGTCAAGATTAGATACATTCAAAAAGGTTGAAAACATAATTTGCAAGTCACAATTTATTAACATACCCACTGTTTCTATGTGTGTCTAAAACGTAACACTATTCTTAACACTCCCAGGTAAAACCCAAACCATCGAAAGAAGATGACATAATCAAGCAAGTGCTTGACCTTGACATATCAGAAGACCTGGTCAAGAAAACTCTGCAGAAAAGGCTGGAAGATAAAGGCACAACGTTTGAGAGTGCAGAAGCTTTGACGGAGGCCATACTAAAAGACAAAATAAGAAGGCCCAGTACGTCCTTATCTGGTGACACCTTGGTCTCAACTCAATTAAAGGAGGGTGGTATAGAGGTGAAGGAGCTGCTACGATGTAGAAACTGCTATGATAAGGATGTGGACACAAAATTTGAACCTTGTGGTCATCTTTCTTGTAGCAAGTGTGGTTTCCATGTTGACATTTGCCCGATCTGCAAATCTCATATTAAAGCCAAAAAAAATCTTTCTTATATAATAATATTAGCTGTTATTATCAAGGTATGTAAATAAATGCGTATACCTATATATATATATATATATATATATATATATATATATATATATATATATATATATATATATATATATATATAACATAAAGAACAGATAGACATAAGGCAGAAAAAGGGACGGAAAAAGTAGAGACATGATTAGCAGAAGGACAGAGGACAAACAGACATATACACAAGGCGTGAATGAAATTACAAAGAACTAAAATTGTGTGTCTTCTGTTGGGTTATCAGCAGTGGGAGATCTCTTCATTTATGTAGCACTTTGTGAAACATTGTAAGAGTTAGACAATCGCCTACCGCATTAGACTGACTTTCAGCTTTAATGTGGATCTTACACGAAGGAGTTCTATTTAAAGCTACGTTTATTCTTTTACATTTTGATAAGTATAACTGTAGTTAATTTAGTACATTATCAATATTTAAAACGTATTTTTTATGTTTCGCCAAAATAGGAAAAGGTTAAAGATGAAAAGATAGACACTTTGCCGTCAATATACCCAGAAGCTACATTGAAAGGTATTTAAGTGTTTCATAATGTATTGACCTGTAACATTAGAATCAGAGTTTTAGAAGTTCATGGTTAGAACATGTTCCTCTGCAAAGAATAAATATAGTTCTTCTATTGCCAGGATTAATCAAGTGATAGTGTAGTCAGTGCTATGTCCAGCCGACTTTGCTCCAAGCTTGCATGTGCTGAATGGACGTTTTAACTAAAAAATTCATTATAATTATGTACCTATTCATTGATGACTGAAAAGATAATGTTTGTGAGTCATGAGACAAGTATCATTCTAAAATTAATAGTAACAATACCATCAGGTTAAGGAGCTTTGTTCAAATCGTAAAATTGTGATTATCGTTATTTTAATACATTGTTCTACTTTGCAGACCAACAAAGACCTATTAATGGTAACCTACAAGAGAAGCACTATAACATACTTAGAAGCAATTACAAATATTTAGTTGAAGAAATTGATGGACAATTTTTAACTGATCATCTATTTACCAAAAGTATAATAAGTTTCGATGACAAGCAAGAAGTAACGGCCATACAAACACGGAGTGGGAGAACCCGAGCTCTACTGGATAAAATACTAAATGCTGGACCAATACGAGCGTTTCCTGAATTTATAAACTCCCTAAAGGATCATTATCCACATATAGCAAAAACACTTTACGATGAGTTATGAGGCAAAATTATAGATTACTTTATGTTTGCTTTCTCCAATTTATACTGAATAAATGTTTAAAAATGCTTTTAGTCGAATTATTGTAATTTGGTTAAGAAAATTGAGTGAGGAAATACGAAACCCATACAGTCGGATTTTTAAAAAAATATTTGATATAATGTAAATAATTTCTAATATTTTAAATACATTAATTTGTTATTCCTATTATAATTAGATGTAAATTTCACCAATATTAACACTTTTCGTTAGAATACATTTGACAGATCTTCTAATTCGAGCCTAAAGCGAGTAGTTATTATTTACTGATGAAGGCGCTAATTTTTTAAGTCATTTTTTGTGTCTGCAGGAGATAAAACAAGAAAACATTTTTTTTTTCAAATACCAAAAATTAACGGAATTATTTAAGGCAATGAATGTGTTTTTGTATTTAATAAAGTAATTTGGTGCTTTGTTCATTAATATATAAATAAATATTTTGGTAGTTATTTTGTGTATCAAGTGTCCACAAAACTCGACTTTACTATTATCACCCCCTCGCCCGTCCAACCCAGCAATGATGTCATAATGAATGTTCCAAAGGAACTGGACGAGAGTTCAAGTTTAAGAATGGGGATTTATTTAAGGTTAAAAAATTATAAATACTGGTATTGGTTGGGAAGTTGGTTTTTAATGTGTAGTGTAAGCGGCAGACCGTTTCCGAAATGGAAACTGGGTCATTTAGTATATTCTAAAATGCGCAACAAAAACAGTTGTGCATTTGTTTTTCTTGTCTAACTTTGTTTTTTGTATTTTTTTGGTAATTTTTTTTAATAAATAGGTTAATTTATTGTTTTTAAAAGTTTGTTTATTTACTATATTTATAAGACTTCATACTGTTTTATTGATATATCGTGGCTATTGTTTAAATGGGTTTAATAAATGCAATGTTGATACTTTTTATACTATAGATAAAAATTGAGAAAACGTGAAAAGATACAGATTTACAATAGTAATATTTCTTTCTTACTTGTAGCCTACTTTCATTTATTTAAGATGGTTTACTTATATATAGATCTAATACAAAAGGTACTGCACAGTTCCTCCTACAGAAGACAATACTATAACGTTTTGTTTTATGCGGATGAGCCATTTGGACTAATAAAGCATACGAGCCGACACGCGGCGTATCATACGCCTCTAGTTGTTTTATTTTCTACTTTTCAGTAATTCATAATTTGTGAATTCGACAGTACCAGCGCTGCCACTGAAAATATTTGCTTTTAAAACACTATCAGTAGCTCGTTGAGGGCGATACTACAACCATCCTCCTTTCCCCAACCCCTACCCCCCCCCCCCCCGTGAAAGCATCCTCCTCTTAGTTACCTCCCCTAAGTTTAAAGTCGTTTCTAACTAAATTATCTGCCCCTAATAGCCGTCACTAAGCCCGGCTCTACGATTGTAAACAATTAGCGTGAACCACAGCTCACCAGACCATGTGGGGGTGAGGGTGGTAGGGATATGCCTAGATAGGAAGAGAGGGGGCTGCTAAGCGTTTATAGGGTATCCAAGAAGAGTATTATATATATATATATATATATATATATATATATATATATATATATATATATATATATATATATATATATATATATATATATATATATATATATATATATATATATATATATATATATATATATATATATATATAGATCGTTTTATAGATCGTTTTTTCAAAGTCAGCCGAAATTGAATAAATTATTTTAAATGAACGTAAACAACTTCATCGCTAAATTTAAAGTTAAATAAGGCTTAGAAATTTAAAAAATAAACAATTATTTTCACTGTTCACTCTATCAACTTAAAATTCTTCATGTTTGGTCTATTATTTGGAATCTGTAGAGAAGGGGGATATGTCATCTCCCTTGAATCTGTAGAGAAGGTGATATGTTACCTCCCTTGGAATCTATAGTGAGGGGGATATGTTACCTCCCTTGGAACCTGCAGAGAGGGGGGAAATGTTACCTCCCTTGTTGTAAGTGTCACAATTAATGAAGCACGTGATTAGTGTTTTCGGGCGATAATTCTTGTATTTATTCTCGTGTGTGGTAGGGTAGTCAGTAGTTGTTTTTTATACGTGAAACATTTTTTACCCTACGGTAGATAAGTGTATTATAATAGATAGGACATCAGTTCCAGTGGTTTTTGTGTCTTCTTTTATAGTGTATATTAATTTTGAATTTTGTTTTATATTTCTGTTACAATGAACCTTGTTTTATATTAAATTTATACTTTTTAAATTTATTTTGTAGTTTCTGATATGTCTGCTACTTGTCAGAGTTGAACTTTCGACAAATGGCTATCGACAATATGACTCCCAACAGAATATCCGCTCATTAAACTCCACGAGAAAAAGGTCTAGCCAGTACGGCTTATGGTGGACATTCACAATAATTCAGACTTCGGTGACAATGTTTTACAATAGAAAGCGAGATGATGTTTAAAAAATGTGAAGTCCACACATTGGCAATTTTTAAGAAAGGGGTACATTTAAAAATTTGAATTGTAAAAGTAATTTAAAATTTAAATTGTAAAAACAATTTAATGTAAAATGCAAATAATCTAGACCCGCATCTGCTAAAATTTGACTATAACAATATTGATTAGCAATGTTGTCGGCAAAATCAACTGCGATTATTTAGAATGTAATAATCTATTTATATAATTCTCTTCATGGAGACGTCAGAAAACAAGCTGTAAGCGCGCCTTGCAGTCCTCTCTCTTCCTCTCTAGGAAGTCTGGTGAGCTGTGGTTCACGCTAAATGTTTACAATCGTAGAGCCGGGTTTAGTGACGGCTATTAGGGACAGATAATTTAGTTTGAAACGATTTTAAACTTAGGAGAGGTAGCTAAGAGGAGGCTGCTTTCACGGGGGCGGGGGGGGGGGGGGGAGGGGGGTTAGGGGTTAGGGGAAAGGAGGGGGGGTTATCGTCTTTAACGACTTACTGATAGTGTTTTAAAGCAAATATTTTCAGTGACAGCAGTAGTACTATCGAATTCACAAATTATGAATTACTGAAAAGTAGAAAATAAAACAATAGCGGCGTATCTTATCATATGATGATACGCCGAGGGTCGGCTCGTTTGAATTAAACCTTCTCCTCGTGGCAGTTTTCCAAGCCAAGGGGCACGACTCAATATATCTCTCGGTAAAAATCTCCCTATTGATTCTCTCCCCTTCTTAAAATTTAGAAGAAGAAAAAATAACTCAGGATATATTGTAATTGTGCCATCATTTATTAGAGGGGTCGGTGTCGGTTTTTATGACGATGTGTGATGATAGCGATAGGGGAAAGGGGGAATGAAAATAGGTAAAAAAAAAAAAGGCTGACGTCATTTTTGGATGGAACTATAGCACGTTTGGCACAAGCTACTTTAAAAAAAAAAAACCAAATGTAAAATGTTTTGTCGTGGATGTCTACTACACGTTCGGCTGTCTAGCACAGGAAGTGAAGTACACCTTCCAACCTGACGGTCCATGGGGGCAGGTGAAGTAGAGTTCACCTGTTTTAGTGAACGGCATATAAATGGATATTTCCTTTAATCAGGTACCCATCAGAGTTGGGTGGATTCAAAGACCCGGGATTCGAAATTCGAAACTGCCCCTTCTTGTAAGCTATACAAAATATTTTTTTTTAATAAGAACATATGCCAGAGGCATTTTATCATTACTCTAGATCTGACAACGAACTGAGTAATTCAATATAGGGCTGGTAAGTAGGTCACCAACCAGTTCTCCGGCTCAATAAAACTTGCAGGAGCCATAGAGATGGTTGGTGACCTACTTACCAGCCCTATTGCCACACTACAGCAGCAAATTATATTTATTGTTAATAAACCAATAAATCAACATAAGTGTCTAATCCGGCTCACCAAGCCCTTCATTGCTGATTTCATCCACATTATAGCCTGTTTAATAATTACAAGCAGTAATATTTTCACTTGGTGTAACAGACTGTATTTTTGGTATTGTTTATTTATGTTATATTTAGGATGAACTTGTATGAAAGTAGAGTACCTGGCCAACGTAAGACTGCGAGCGACGAATCATGTTTTTCCGCACTATTATGCACATTTTGTTTTGGCGTTAGCTTGGTGCGCAATTCTTTTTTCTATGAGATTCTATTCTATTTTAAAAAGTTTAAGTATTTAAAATGGATTAAAAATCATAACTATATCCCAAGTTCCCATCCCTTGTTGTTTTATATAAAAATATTCGAGAAAATTTAGGGGAGATCACTCCCAGTTTATTTTAAATAATGCACCAAAAACAGAGAAATAAATGATTTTCTTTAAATATATAATAATACATTACTATTTGAATAACTGCAAAGGAAAGAGTGGGTCGCTTCTTAAACTATATTAAAGGCATTCAATAGTTAATAAAAAATGACCCACGTTTTTCTTTACAGTTATTTAAATAGTAGTGTTTTATATATATTAAAGAAAATCAAACATTTTCTCCTTTTAATGCATTATTACATAGAGGCTTGCAATTAAAACGTTTTTACAAGCTTTTATTTAACTCACTTCCTCTGTCGACAGTCTGTCGTCAGTCTAGATGGAAACGCAGGAGTGAAAATTCGGACAGTTCTACTTGACCGATACGATTCACAGTTGGCACGTGGTTCAAGACATGAAGACAATGCAATCTGAATCTAAATTTGACTTAATTGGATGCCTAATTATTTTTTTATGAATTAATTAAAATTTGGACTGAATTAGTAGGCATGTCTATCCAACCACACCACATACGTCGTCACGTTCAATCAGGTTTAATAGCTCCGCTATCACGTTCAATAGACGCGCAATGGTTTTTAGTCTTGTAACACTATTGCAAATAAAACATGTAAAGTACTGAAAAAAAAATTCATAAAAAACGTTTTAATAACAAGCGTTTATGTAATGATGCACTAAAAAGTAGAAAATAAATTATACACTACTATTTAAATTACTATAAA